GTAAAAAATGATGTTTGACTCAAAAATTTTATCGATTCATCGTTAAATCTTTCACTAAACTGCATATAAATTAAATCAAGTGCAGCATAAAACACACTGATTTTAAAGCTAAAATAAAATATTATATTTAATGATGAAAGTATATATATATATCTCCTTTTTGGATTAAAATGTTTGAAGTCTTGAACTTTCAAAATCAAAAGGTAAATTTCTCTTCTTCATAAAATCTTAGGCCTTTGAAAAGACATCCAAAAATTCAGTGTAATTATCTATTTTAGGATTATAAGATAATAAAAGATAATAATTTAAATTATACTTCTCATATTAATCAGGCAATCTTTTACCAATTGAATTTGATTTATTGCAAACACTATATCCTTCGAAATGGTTTGCAATTTTGTACAAGCCAAGCTTGTTATCAACAATATTTTATCCAAAACACATAGTGATAAAATAAAATAAAATTTTTCTATTCTATAGACTATAGCACTAGCCATAGTGGAAGTGGCAGGATCTTCAGAATCCTTTAAATTTGCCAAAGCTGCCCTCAAAGCATCATAAAGTAGGAAAAAAATTACAATCGCCTTATATGATGTTAGCCAGCTTCTATAAATATAAAATAAACATTATATATCGAAACAATTAAGATAATATTACCGAGTGGTATTCTTGATGCGTAAAAATCTATGTGATTTTGTCAGTAAATCACTCTGACATGTTTTGAGTACTTCATATCTTTTAACACCATTAAAATATACGTAAATTTCATCTAATATTCCCAAGACATTTCGCAGCTCTTTTACTGATTGACATTATTGAACAACTATTAAATTTAATCGATGACAATAGCACCAAATAAAAGCTGCCTTTGGCGCCTCCGCTCTAATCAAAGCCTGCATTCCATTAATTCTTCCACTCATCTTTGAGGCGCCATCATAGCTTTGCCCCACTAGGAATTCGAGGGGTAGATTCATGGAGCCAAGCTTGGATATTATATTCTTTTTAATATCGAGGCCAGTTGTATTTCCCGTACAATAAATGTCTATCAGCCTTTCAACGGGCTTAGGTGTCTCGCTATTTTCAACATATCTCACTATCAAAGCTATTGCTTCTGATTTCGATACATCATATGTGCCATCAACTATAATTGAATAGCACCTGTTGAATTCAATCTCCTTTTTAATTTTTTTTATAACCATATTTTTCATGGTTTCAATAAGAATATTTATGTTATTATATGATAACAGATTTGAATATAATTTAGATTTTAATCCCTTAATTTTTTTCTCAATTCTTCTTTCTTCATTATCTTGTATATACATTTTAAGAACAGGCTCAAAAAGTTTAATAAGGCTCATATTATTGCCATCTTGTTGCCTGTTCCCCCAGAAGGCTTGATTGCGAGATAAGCATTTATATTTTTTTGGTTAATATTTTTTGGCATATTTTGACAATGATCTAAAAATTATAAATGATTATATATAAGATTTAATATTTAAATTTTTACTATTCCCTTTGATAAAATTTTAATTTTGCGCCAAATCTTGAAAGTGGAAAAATAATTTTATGATAAGAAATATCGGATAACAAACTAATTTGCTAAACATCGACCATAAAAATTTTTAAAAAAATAAAATTAAAAAATTTTAAAAATTTAAAAAAAATAAAATAAGTACCCCCATAGAAATTTATAGAAGCAGTTGCTTCGGACCCCCCCCCCGTTGTAGGGGTCACTGCTTATATATCCATTCTTTAAACATTAATAATTTGAAATATTTTATTTTAGCTTTCAATGAAAAAGTTTCAAATTTGGTGGGTAATTTTAAAATGGTGGATGAATATAACGCCACATTTATTTCTACTATGAATGTGATAAAAAAATGTAAATTGAAATATGTATGCGATAAGGGGTAGGAATAACTCTCATAGAATATAAATTAGCAATCATAACACCCCCCCCTCTCCCGCTGTGTAGGCGTCTGTGTATTACTACCTATTTAACGATTATAAATTAAGTTTAAGTCCAACCTTTTTTGTTATCTCATAAACATATAATAATATGATAAATTTGAATTCTAATACCAAATAAAATTTCGAATATAAAATAAACCAATTTGTCAAGCTTTTATTTGCCTACTCTCAAATCTAACCTTAATTTTGCGTGTAATCTAATATAACAGAACACTCATAACTACGAGGAGCCTTTCCTATTCAAATGTTGATCGAAAAATTATACTCCTTTTCAATTGGGAGTGTGTATGGTATGGATTAGACACATTAATTTGGCAGAAAAAGCATGAGTAGAAGCTTTTTAGGTTTGACCCAGAACAGATTTGGATTCTGAGTTTAAAAAAAATTCAGGGTTCAGAGGGTTCAATTTGATTTTTTAAAAAAGATAAAGATTACCTTGAATGTTAAAAATATGATCTTATTAAGGTATTAATTAAAATATATTTAGACGACTATTTAAGCTTAAGATTTGAATATCTTCTAACGAAATATATATTAGGATATAAATTTTAATAAAGAGTGATCCTTCCACATATGTGGTTGGAATTACTAAAATCCCTTAAGAAAGTTTGGAAATATTTGGCTGAATCTTCTCCTTATATATTATTATTTAAGGTGAATTGTAATTTTAAATCGTATAAATATTACAAAAATTATGCTTAATATCCAATTCAGTAAATTTTACAAATTATTTATATTTTACTATAACGTATTAGATAAATAATACATAATTCCAGTCGTGTATTCAATAGGGGAGAAAGGTAAAAATTTCCTCCCCCCTCCCATCACAAATTAGCCTGTTCTCATAAATATCATTTCAAGCTAATATAAATCCCTCCCCCATACCCTCATACCCCTTTCTTCAAAAAATATATATAATATATCATTATAAGGAAGTATTCGAAAGAAAAATTAGTAAAAGTTGATAACTTTTAAAAATAACGCCAATATTCAAAATTTAAAAAAGGATTTTACTTTTTAAAAAAGTGAAAATCCAGAATTATTTTTATAAAAATCTAATATAGCCAAAGGCCTACAATAAGTAGAACTAAAGATCTCCAATAAAATTTATGGGGAAAAAATTTTATCTAATAGTGCTTTCCCTCATTCACTAATCCCAGTTTAAAAAAATGACGAAAACGCAAAGAATTTAATGTTATATTTACTTTCTATTTTTTCTTTTTGCCTGATTTGAATATCACAAATATTAAATGAATTATAGGAAAATAAAATATCTTTTTCATATCATATTTTATAAGAAATAGAAAAAAAAACAAATAGATAAACATCATCATATTATCAAAATTGTTGCTGAATAATTAACAAAAAATAGAATACATAATTATTTTGAGTTTGAGATAAATCTCCTATATAGGCCTGACATTGACCTGAAAAATTTGTCACCAGGCTTCTCCTAATATGAACAAAATAAACCTTACCCTTCCCCCCTCCCAGTGAAATATTTTATACCACCACGCTAACCTATGAAAAATACCATTCTAAATTTTTTCGTCGCTTTGTTAACCAGACCAGTATTGATTTCAAATTTTTTATTTTTTTTTGACACAACTTTTCCAGTTCGCTATTATTGGATGAATTTTTTATCACTAATTTACTACATCATTAATAAAATATTTGAATTTCTACGTTTCCACATTTAAAATAATTAAGAACATAATATCAAAAGAATTTTTTCCCCTATATTAGAATTTTATATTTGGCCACCAAATATAGACAGAAAATAGTACCTCATTTCTAGGATAGCCATATTCTTTTATTTCTATTTAGTTGCAAATATTGTATCAAGATAATTTTTCTTAGTTTAAATCTCAAGGCATTTTAGTGGGGTAGGTTAAAACTGTTAATGAATTGATGATAGCTATCGTATCATCCACTATCAGATTTTTGGGTGGTAATTCTAACCATAAATATCTGATGTACTGATCTTCAGCGTTTTATAGATAAATTTAAAATCCTAGCAAGTTTTAAAATTAGTTGCGACTACTCCAAATGGATGAAAGTTACAATTCTTGTCGGTTGTTACAACTACTAGAATCTGAAATTCTTACCAGGTTAATTTGTATGTTGCTTAGGCATGAATATGACAAGGTTGTGTGCATAAATAGAGATTGAACATATAATTTTTTCCTAATGTAAATCAAGCAAAATTTTAAAATAATCAGCAAAACGCTATAACGAAATACAATATTTTGGTATGTATATTCTAATCAAATGAACAAAAAAATGAAAAAAAGTTTGTGGTGCAAAGAAGTAGAGATAAAGGAATTAGACATAGGAAAAATATAGGGTTTAAACTTGAACAAGAAAACAAAAAATTCTTGCCAAAACGTTAAATAGAATTTTAAAAAAAACCGTGAATAATTAAAGATTTTTAATATTTTAAATGATGTACCATATCGATTCAAAAATTTTATTAAATAGTATGATTTAGGTTTATTGGGGTTTTTTAAAATTGACCAGAGTTTTATAAAATTTTAATAAAAGTATAGAATATTTGATAAATAAATTATATCCATCTTCGAAAAACACAATTTTAAAAAATTGAGGTAAATTAAAAACTAATGATGCTAAAAAAATAAGATGTGATCTTGTAGCTCTACTAAAAAATTTTAGTAAATATTAAAGTTTTTTAAAAATAATAATGTTGTGGTTTTTATTTATGTTATATAGTTTGAACCTGAAAGCTCCAGGTGTTGCTTTCTGAATTTCTTTGAATTTAATATTTATTCCCTTATATTCTATCTGTAAAAAAAATTAAACTTGGGACAGCCATGAATTTTTTTGTTATTGCAATTCATTTTTGTTAAAATTATTATTTTTTTAAAAAACATTTTAAAACATGAAGAATACGATTCGCTAGCATTAATGTCGTGAATAGATATTATTTTCCCGAGATTATGTCATCTTTTACTTCTCTAAATATAAATGAATTATTTATATATTAATAATAATATTATAATAAATTTTAGAAAAGTTACTAGAAAAATCAAAGTTAAATAGTAATAAAGAAATATCTGGCGAAAGAGCACTATTAAAACTCGCTATTGCAGGATATATATCGGCTTATATGGAAGCTCTCGGATTGTTTTCTGATTTGAAAAATATAATAGCAAATGGTATGACAATATTTAATGATATCTTACTTGTTTTACCTTTATATTCTAGAATCAAATGTCGTACTAAAATTTCAAAATTCTGATGGATCCTTTTCTAACACCAAAAATTCTGTTTCAAATTTTTATCTCACAATTTGGACAATTAAAGTCATATGTCATTCCCACAAATATACCTTCATTGACACAGAATCCAACATTTGTAGAACGCTTAATTGGTAAAATAGATACTTAAATTCACTAAAATTTAGATGTACTTCATTATTAACTAAAATAATATTTTAATTTTTATTATTTTTTGGAATTATTTCAGCAGTTAATTTTATTAACAATCAAAACAAATTTATCATTATGCCAAAAAGAGTAAAAAAAATTTAGACATCTTTGACATAGTATATTTTATTTAAATACTTGTAGTTATCAATAAAGAATCGTTTTTTAATATAATTTATCATTTTTTTATTAACATATTATAATCTATAAATAGTGTCAATGTATTTTTAAAATTTCTTGTGCAATAAAAGTACTTAATCCATCTTTTATTTAATTCGTTTGAGTGGTGTAAAGGAAAATAATTTTTAAAAACGAGGAGAAAAATTGTTCAGGGAAGGGACAAATTTTATATAAATCACCCTACTTCATTGAGATTAGGTGGTAACCCTTAGAGGATATTTTGCGCCGCCTGTAGTTCAGGGGAAAATTTGGTGCCACTAGTGGTTAAGAGGGATATAGGGATCACTGGTCAGGCATTCAAAATAAATATAAAGTTTCAAATAAAATACATTTATAATATGAAAATACTAGGCATCAGATAATTAATAAAACTTATTAAATATAATAGCTTTATTAAAATCTGGAAGATCTCAACATCAAGATATTCTTTGTAAAAAAAAATTGAATCTGCGTGTTTGTTAAGATGGAAGAGTGTTTAGCAGAGTTGCTAAAAGATATTTTTTAAATAGATCTAAATACAAATACATCGTCTAAATTATATCGGGATATCGATACCAATATTACTTTACAAATGTATCTATATACAGATAAAATTTTTATACTTATGTAAAGTAATAATGCTTAATTTAGGATTCTATTGTCAAAATTCAAATTTCGAAGTGAGCTATAAATTTTATTGAGTTGATATTACAACTATATCCAAATATATAATTAAAATAAAGATTTTTAAATCTAAATAATTCATATATAAAATTTATAATTAAATGATAATAAATAATTCTTAAATATTAATAATAAAACATTCTCAAAATTTTTATCATTAAGTCACCCCCATTTATCTGTAAATTTTTAGCCACATTAAACTCTTAATAGGACATTCGAAGGCAGAGTGGTTGTTGTATTTAATGAGTAACAACATATAATCATTTAATATATTTCCGACACTCAATTTTTAAAAAATTATTCAAAATTTGATGAGTGACAAAACTTATATCAATATTGATATCATCTAAGGGATACCCCCAAAAATCTAATATTTAATTAATTAATTTCATTTCAGAGATAGTCTAGAAATATTGATCTATGATAAAAAATATTTATTTATATAAATAAAATAAATTGTAATATAAAATTTACCATGTGTACAAAATAAAATGTGTCTGGTTAGTTTATATAATGAAATAAACTCGGACATATTATTAAATGAATTTAATTCATTATTTTTTATAATATAAAAAAACTTGAAATTAAAAGTATCTAAAAAAAATAATAGATACCAATACATCCAAAATAATATTTAGATAATAATTCTGGTGTTAAGTGTCGGTCAGATATGAGAAACGATTGTTCTACCCTTTGATTATCGGCACATGATTGTTCTATCCTTCACACTTTATTGGCTTAGTTTTTATAAAATAGTACTTTATTAAAGGTACTTTTGTATCCACCGATATCAATACAAATTCTAAAAGAGTTCCACGATACAGATACAAATACATTCTCCCTTAAATGTATTTGATATAAAGCTTAAAATTATCGATGATTTTTGATACATAATGTATAAATTATTTACAAATTAATAACAACACAGTGATTTTATTATCACACAAGGATACATCCACGCCTATCATTCAAAACATTTTTAGCGGTTCAAATGGTGCGCTGGGAGGAATGGTTGTGTTGTATTTAATAAATAATTGTAATATTAGAAAAATGGCGAAATCCTTTTTAAAAAAATTATCAAGGTTTTGTTTTTAATATTATTTTTAAAAAAATAGTCTTAAATTTATTATTGATTTAAAATGTAAAATAACTCGGATTAATTAATTATAAAATAATAAACAATTCAAATATTTTCTATTTATGCAAAAATTAAACTATTAAAAGTAAGATATGGCATCAGTGATATCAACTGGCAAAAGCCAGGCCCTTAATCATGCAAAGTAAACACAATTTCAACCTCCAATACAGTCTTAGATTCTAAATTTATCTTTTGGCAAAAATGGGCCTAAATATTTAACATGGGCAGGTCTCTGATTAGATTAATATTGCTAATTAGTCTTAAAATTTGTAGCCATGTAATTTTAGTCTTATAAAATACACAAATTTTTTAAAATTTATTAACACGGGTACAAATCAATTGCGTTATGTAAATCTCTCAGGGGATACCTAACATTAGAGGTCTATAAAGTAATTTTTCACAGCCCGAGCACATATTTTTTGGTCCAACCCGACCCGAATCGAATAAAATTTACAATTTGAGTTTGAATATTATAACAACCAAAAAAACTTATGTGTATTTATTCATTGCTACCTTATAAAAGTTTATTTGACGGCCATAATCTATTCAAGATATATATTAAGTTGCATTTTATTAAATTTCATATTATAAAAAAGTTAAAATACAATCAAATTTAAAAATTATTGCGATTATATAAAAACAATAAGCATGATTTATATCAAATGTAGATGATATAATAGTTATTATAGAGACGAAATATAATGAACATATTATAATGACATATCAAAAGTATCACAAAGCTAATAATTATATAAATAATGAAGAGTCCAGTTTATCTGGCTTTAAACGAGTCCTTTTCTCTTCAAAGGCCCTACCAGCAGCTGAAAACGCTCTTTCACTGCTAGCCGACGAAGCAGGGATAGCTAGGAATTTAAGAGCCAAAATACTTAAATTTGAAAACTTATTATGGTTTGTCTTCCACCAAATTAAAATATTATCATCTTCAATATATAATTTAGCATCTAGGTAGTCAACTTCAACGCTAGCATCAGAAAACGCATTGTCAGCCTCCCATAGAGAGAAATCCGAAAACGTATCTGCCTCAGTATTTTCTTATGAAAAAAAATATTCATAATAATTAATAATTGATTTTATTATTAATATAATGAACCTTTATTTACTATTCTATCAGTTGGTAGGAGCTAAATGGTGAGTTGATATTTATAGATTTCTGCCCAATAATATCTCTGTTGATCTTCTCTGTATTAATCAACGTGTTAATATGTTGGCACAAATATTTAACTCGGGATAACAATTTCATATTCCTAAATTTTGGGCACAAAAATGTCGAAATTTGGTGGAATATATCAGTATAACGCTACTTTTAAAAGTAGCGCGCTATCGCTACCTCTATTTTATAAAAAAAAATAACGCGCTATCGCTACCGCTATCGTTTTCAAATGAGTAGCACGCTATTAGCTATTTTTATGCTATTTTGATTTTTTTTTAAAATATTTTTTACGTTATTTTATTTCCACAAATAAAATATTGGTATAAAAACATGACTATAATTTGTTACATAGTCATCCCCAAGTCTAGAGCGACGATCAGAAAGTATAAGCTTTGCCATATTTTTAGATTTAAAAAAAGCATCTAGAGGCTCTATATTATTATTATTATTTATTTCAAAAAAATTATATATGGAAGGCCGTGGTTTCGATCTTGCTATAGTATGAGTATCGTGGTTAGGCATGGCATTTTTTAACGTTACCATCAGCCTATCAAGTTGCCCTTTAGATTCAGTCAAATAAATGTATGGCCAATTTCACTTGAAACTAGGATGAACGATAGCAGCTATTACATTATCATCATCATACAGATCTGGAAATCTAATTTATATAAAGCGAATGTATTTATTATAAAAAAAGAAGAATACCTTTTAAATTTTCAAAATTTAAATTTATCTGAGATTTAGATTCATTTATAAAAAAATATTAAAATAGCATTAAATTATGGTAAATAAAGATTTTAAAAATATAATTATTATACACAAGGTAATTAATAATATATTAATTTTGAATTTTATATTAATACTATATATTAATATTATAGATTGTGTTGTAAATTAAGCCAATTTAAATTATGGCTAATCAAGCAATAAATCATTCATTTTACATAATTGTATAATAAAAAATAAAAATAAAGTTTTGACCTTTTCTCAATGCCTTTTAGCGTAGACTACCAGTGGTTGGCAAAATTTTAGATTATTGATTCTTTTGAGCTTGGTAATTAATATACTCAGTGTGGGAACATAATATCCTATGCTCATATTATCTTGCCCTTCCAATATTTTAAGCGAGGCAGCAACATATTGCATAACCTAAAAAATTAAAATGGTTAAATATAATATAAAATTATTTATTAATTAAAAATACTTCAGTATATTCTTTAATAAAAGTATGCTCCTCCACATTAAAATACTGTATTACTTTGATCCAATATATAATTCATTTCCATTTTTTTCTCATCTAGAAACAATGCTAAAAGTTTCATAGCATTGTAAACACTATTCCATCTTGTAGTGTTTGGTGTCAATAAATAACGGCCTAATTTTTTTAAAATATCAGACATCTTAGATGACTTATTTTGTTTATTCCAAAGTTGTCATTTAGAAAATGTAGATCTTGATACTCTTTTAAAATCCTCATTATAAAGCTTCTTCAGCATCCACTGTCGCAACTAAATTTAGGTTGTGGCAGGAACAATGATGGTGGCTAGATAACATAGAAGAGTTTATTGAAGATTCTATAATATTATAAATTTTATTTTATATTGCTGAAAAATTAAATATAAAATAATTTAAAACCAAGGATGTCATGAACATCAATTATCTCAAACTCCATTATTTCATCATCCTCTTCCTTTAATTGTTCTCCATCTTCAATATTATTGTCATGAATATTACAAGTATTGTTATTATTTTCACCAAAAAAAATTATAATAAATTTAAAACCTGAAAGCCTT